ATACCACTTTCTATACCTAGAAATAATCAGGGATCAAGCTCTACTGGCCCTGTATCAGAAAACAGAAACCAAAGGAGTTTACTTTGCCATGTGCCACGTAAAGTATTTATATCTTAACTTGTACTCTATTCAAAGTTTCACCAGCTGCAGCCATACTAGACAGTAGTGTAGCAGATACCTACTACAGCATCCCGTTCTCTCGTGTCCTGTGCGAGGACGTGTGAAAGAGAGAGAGGTGGCAGCCTGGTATGTTTGCAGTAGCTATTCATTTTATTTATAAGTAAATAAAAAAGTTAAAATGTGCAAACATACTTCAGTGTAAATCAATCTATTAACAACTTCGAGGCAGTTTGTTTTGTTATTCATCTACCAAACCAGAGACAACCTTGGACTATCTGTCTCTAGATGTCACCGTTCAGGAGTTTCACCCACACATGACTAAGCTGTAGATTTTCAAATTTGACTAGGTCAGTTCCGATTTTTTTCTGTTTTTTGTTGAAACTAATGATCAATTGTTTTCATATTTGAAAAAGCTTGGTTATCATGCTCTTAGTGATTCGTACGACAAGTCTAGTCACTTCATTTTTAACAGCAGATTGACCAGGAGTCAAAAGTTGACTAGCAACAACAATACACCAAATTAAATTGACAGAAATTAAGTTTTTGAACTGGCTATTTTTTCCTTCTGCGAGTGCAGACATTTTCCCCTAAGGCATTGTCTGGGGAGGATGCCTGGCGTGGCTGGGCACTGGGAGTTCATCTCACTGTCCTGATGCCAGCCCCGCTGACGTCGGCGGCCGGCAAGGAGGGGATCATCCCTCAGCTCCTGCAGCAGGCTGCCCGTGGGCTCGTGCACAGAGCGGGCAGCTTGCAGCTTCTGCCTCAGCTCCATGCACCCCCATGGCAACCAGCTGGCTGTGGGACTGAGGACAGACACCAGGTTTTTCAGAATATTTCTGGAAATAATGTCTTTTATGAAGACAGTATTCCTCTCACATCTATTTGTCTTTGTCTTCCCATCCTCACAGCTTCATTAACTTTGCACATCCTAAGGAGTGACGCATTCCAGGATGCAAACACGGGCTCAAGAAGGCATACCACAAATCCAGAGCTGAGCTGGAAAATTTTGTAGGTGGGGCAACAAGAATCATCACTTTCTTCAGAAATGAAAACTATTCATAACACCTATACCTATACTCAGAAAACATGAATGAATAAAGGAATAGTGGAAGTATAATAAAATCAAATTACCTAAACTTTAAGCAATTCTTCAACTTCAGATGTAACCATAGAAAGGATGCAGAAAGCAGTTATCATTACCGTAATACTTACATAGAAAACACAGCATGAACTTCTGTCCAGAAAGCCAACTCACAAAATCAGGCAGCATTAGCAAATGCCAGCGAGGGTAAAGAAAAACAGCATGGTGTACATTTATTAATAAATGTAATCAAGAGTAAGGCTACTGCTGATCTGTTACTCAGAGTCAAAATTATAGCAGGTGGGTACCAGAAGGCCAAACAAGACCTTCACCTCTGTGAGTTCTGACCACAGACAAACCCCAAACAAACAAGCATAAAAAGAAATCTATGAACAAGTCACTAGTATTGCTTGCACCAAGGCAAACAAAAACAAACTCTTTGGATGATTTCAAACTAAATATTTTTGGGTAGTAGGAGCGTGCTCCACTTTTTCTTAGGACAGCTGAACCAGAGACCAACCTCCCCAAACCATTAACTCTTATTTTTGAGAGATACCAGGAGAAAGGAGAATTGATACAGTGCCTAGAGTCCAGGCAATGGCCAGATGAAAGCCAGGGAATCCAATTATGCAGTTTCATTTAAGTCTAATTATTTTATTCAAGAATTTAAAAATCATAACCACACCAGCAATAACAAGAATACAAAACAATGAGGCTGTCAAATCAGCTCAACTTCCTTTTAGCAAGGGAGCAGATGTGTGGGTAGTCAAGAAGTTGCGTGTCACAGCCTGACATAAGCAAGATGGGGAAATAACCCAGGATAGAAGAGCTAGAAAATAAGTTGTTGTAAGCAGTTCACACAATACATTCTACTGCTTGTAAAATGGAATTACTAAAGGATACAAGATTTTTCCCTAAGAAATTGCCAGGTTTTCTGTGGAGTCTGTAAAAATTTTCACTACTGGAGACATTTAAAAACAGATTAGTCAAACATCTCCACTAGCAGCAGCAGATTTTTCACTGTGCCTTAGGGCACACTAGAGAATGACCAAGTACTTCTCAGATTCATCTTTGTATGAACACAAACCCATATGTCCATTAAGAAGCAGAAATTTCAAAACATCCGGATTCTGGTATTTAATTTAATTGCAGAGTTGGAAACATTGCTAAAAGATCTTGAATGTGCTGTAGCAATAGGCTGTTTCTTTGCAAACTGAAATACTACTAACCTCTAATAATAAACAGTCATCCTTTAGAGATTCAGCAAAGTTTGCACTAAGAGGGTATTTTTCATCTATATTTCTATCTCCTGCAGGTCAGATATAATAAATTTTAAGTTTTGGGTTGCAGTGTAGACTTGTTCCAACACAATAATATGTATGCCAACCCCAACTTACTTGGGTTAGACAGGGCAGGGAAGGAAGAAGAAAAAGAGTAGAAATCCATAGCCAGTCTTCTCACAGTACCTTTGAGATACAACTTTAACTTTTTTAGTGATATTTCTTCCTTTTAGAACTTCTTGATTCAAAATATGTTTTGCACTATTAGTTCCATTCTGGATTTCTTAAGATATATTGCATTGGAACTATTAGCAAGTGTCAAATCATCCTCCTACTTCGCAGACTGATAATTTCAGGATCAGAAAGAATATGCTAAAAAATACAGTTCTTTGCAAAAGCATCCACACAGCAAAGCACAAGGCAAAGCTCTGTATTGTTCTCTGTTCAAGATAGGTCACTTTTAAGCAAGGTGTTAAGACCAGTTTATGTCATATGCTGATTTCATACAACATTTCAATTTTAAACTGAACCTGTGCAGTCTAAGAGCTGCTGACTCAGCATGCTACATGTTCTTGTCCTGTAAAGAGAGCCCATGAACTTCCTCAGCACAGAAGTACCTGAGTTACTCTTTTAAACAGCAAGCAGCAGTCAGGATGGCTCCAGGGTCAGGAAAGCTCAGCAGCAGTCACAAATGCAAACCAGTACACAACCAGAAGATGACAAGCATTCGAACTTGCAAGTCAGGCTGCAGCACCAGCTTCAGTCAAGAGCAACAAGCTAAAACTATCCTCAGTTTCCCACATGCTTGGTCAGCCCCACACAGCCACCAGCTGAAGGCAGCCAGGGGCATGGGTCTGTCATTCTCAAAAGTCTAGAGCCTCTGCTGGAGCTTCCTAGTTTTAAAGTTATGTTTTCCCAGTCACACTTACAAAAAGCTGCTCAGGAATTCACTGTAGCAAAAAAAATTCTCCTGCTTCCTATTCTCATAAGGAAATAGTAAAACTGCTCCCCATTTATTTGAATCCTGCACTGACTTTGGAACTGAAGGAGATGTTTCATAAATAAGCTTAGTTTGTTTCAGGCACCCTGAAGTTGCTTAGTATTTCAAGTTAGAGTGAATAATTACTTCTCCTTAAAGGGTCTTGTTGCAAGTCAAGTTGCTTTTTAAAACAAGACAACTGAATATTACTTTAAATTGCCAAGGTGTGTTAAGGTCTAAATTAGCATTCTTTACCATTTAACTGCTTAAACTTTAGCAGTAAGGTTGTTCTACTTGCATATCAGACCAAACAAATGAACAAAAACCAGTTTGTCTACTGCGACGGCAGCAGTTTTGTACCCTGCAGTTATATGGAGCTAGCTTAGGTACTGAAAAGAACATGCTGAATTCTTAATTCTACCCTGAGTATTAGGCTATGTTAGAATAAAATGTGAAGTCAGTCAAGTTCCACAACACTCCATGTCTTGAGTGTTTTATGAAAAAAAAAAAAAACCAAAACAAGATATTAGCCTAGACAAAGCCCTGTGCCAGTGCCAATAGAATGCTTTTGCTACTCAGATTAGCTCAGACATCCGTAAGTAGTCCTTGAAACAGTGCCAACATTTAATTTATGCACCTGAATCATTCAGAGCTTGCCAGCAAAGCTACGTTCTCCAAAGCCATGGCTTTCCTGAGGTGGCAGGGAGCATACCATTTTTTTGATGTTGAAATGCTTTGACCAGGATAGTTATGGAATTCCACAGAGTGGAGACACTAACTTCTATTTGGGAGAGGGAAAAAAAAAAAAAGCCACTGACAGAGACACACCTTCAAAAGTACAGTTTCCTTCTCATGCAAGTAAAGTTCAGGTGTGCAGGTGGGATGTACCAGTCCTACATCCTTGAAGGAAGCTAGTGGAAGACAAAAATCAATTGATAGTATGCACTAGCCTTTGTACATCAAATCAGTGTATCAAAACATGCTTTGCAATTAGCTCCTGACACATTTACAGTTTAAACCAGTACACTTCCATGCATTGCACTGAATTTAATCTCTACTCATAATGTAGTTTGATACCATCAAACTATTGAATCAGAATTTACTTTAAAAATGCAGACTGTGCATATTAGTTACCATCCTGCTTAACAAAAATCATAAGCTACAACCAACAAAGAAAACAGAAGCTGAAAAAGTAAAAAATTTGAAATATTAAAGCAGATGTGAATTCAAGTTCTCCATGTGCTGACTTAAATCACAGTTAAAGATCTATCCTATCCATCCATCATTTCCCTGACCCTGCAGGTGCACACCCTCAGGAGCAGCACTGTTTGGTGCATACCTAAAGTACCACCTACTTGGGGCTGTTCAAAACTCATTTAAGCCAAATAAAGGAATTTCTAAATTGGTTGAGACAGATATGAACACTCCTGAAAGTCCCATACAGTGCACCCAAGTATACCAGAGACTCTCTCTTAAAATTGAAGATTTGAGTCAAGCACTCGACAAATTATCACAGTTCAGCCATAAACACAGCAACATGTTTGCTTGGCATGCTACAGCAGAAACTTTATTCAGTTCATTTTGAAAATATTTGCAACCAAAATTTATTTTTGTAAACTCACAGAAATAAGCTTTAACATATAAGCTGTATACAACTCAAATACAGGTAATACTTTTAGCAATAACTTACAGATACAAACTAATGATAAGCTACAATTTCACAAAGAGTTGTAAACATTTTGCACAATTGTCAGTCCTTTCTTTTAGGCAAAGTGCTCTTTTGATGACAAATAAATTAACACACACATAACTACAGTGGACTACTTCCAGACAATACAAAAAGGTGTTTAATAAGGCTTGTAAACAATGGAATAGTTACTTATGAAGAATCCATAAAAGTGTCTTGCAGGCTAAATATACTTACATACCTGGGCAGCAAAAAATGGTCTTGAAAATGCTTTTGATGTTAACTAAAAAGTTAACATTAATATCTTTCCAATGATATTTTTAATACACAATGAATGACTTAAGGTTACATCCTTAATAGCTTATATCCCTGACAGAAAGGAATTAGGTGTGACTTAGTGGCAGTTGTGTCATTGAATGGGGTAGCAAAGGCTGGAGTCCCAGAGCTGTAGGTGAATGAGCTACAAAAACAGAAACATTTACCGGTCAACTTCATTGGAGGTATAAAAATATTATAAGCTAATAAATCTCATTGGGTAGTAACAGTTGGCTGGTCCCAACCACTGCAGTGTGCTCTGCTTTCCCCAGACCAGCATCGCCTCCCTCCACCCGCAGCCCACCTTACACCACTGCCTGGGAGAAAAATAAGCTCAGGCCACACACATGGCTCAGCATCCAGTTCTCCCGCAACCTTCAGTCTCTCCTAATCACAAGTGGGAGCCAAAAGTGTGACCTGTTGGGTCACAAGGCACAGAATGACTAAAATGCACTTTTGAGCACCAGGGTCCCTGTTGTGTGTTACTGTGAAGGAACCTGAAGTTCTCAGAGAAGCTGTTGGACTGAGTACACCTAGAGCCTCAGGGGTAAGGGCCAGGGAGGAGGTGGTCAACAGTTTTCATTAAAATTCCATATTATTAAAAAACGTGGCACAGATGTTTAAAAAAGCATTTGATTTCTTACTACTAGTATCCATAGTTTGAACAGGGCACAGTGTGCTCTACATACCCCAGATCTTCAGCTATCCTCCTACAAGTGAGGGGCTACTGCTTGAAGAGGCACAGTTCTTAATGAAGTGTTGCTAGCAAGTACACTATTAAGATATTCTATAAAGAATACTAGAAACTAAAAATCCATTATGTTTCCTTAACTGATACTTGGTAAACTGTTCTTGCTAAAGTCAATGAAGATTTTACTCGGATATGCAAAGCTGTTCTACCTACCATCCATGTAGCTGTGCAGAGCTGTTAACATGGTCCCGTCCTGGGGTACATATGCAGAGTATGCCATTTCCTCTAACATGGGTGGAGACAGCCTGGAGGGCTGCACTGCTGTGACAGGAGCAGTAGATGAATGATTAGGACTAACATGTTTCTTATGGCGTGCTCTGCAATTTTGAAACCACACCTGAAAAGAGGGACAAATTTACATCACGCTCATAGATCGCATTGTGTTTCAACATTAGCATAATAAAACCCTCAACATTCTAACTTCAGCTGAATTCAGTTAACTGGGCCTTTAATGGAAGGCTGACAGTCCAAAGAAAGAAATATCCATTCTAAGCCTGCATGGGACCTCACACAAGCACGGTCAGGTCAGGAAAGCTTCTGCCATGCCCAGCAGCACAGTGAGTAGCCACACAGCTCTGGCCTGGCCAGACACTGGCCCTGAGCAGCACTGTCTGTAGCCCTGCACACTGTCCCACACATGGCCACCTCCCTGCCTGAACACCGCCAGTGACACCGTTCTTCCACAGGATACCCACCCTCCTTTCCACACTGAGAAGTGTCCCATTGTTTCTAAGGCTTGATCATAGCTGCCAGATGCCTCATTTCTATAGAGGTACTGTCGCTCTTCCAGGCTAAAATTAGCCAAGGGAAAGGCAAACATTATTTATGTTTATATTAAAAAAGTATATAATACAAAAATTCATATTTATGTATAAAAAACACAGGCATATAATGTTTCCTGAGAGGTACCTTCAAGCAGAGATTCTAAGTTTGTGATTCTCTCCATTTCAGATGGCATGGCTATAACATTTTAACCCTGCTTTCTACAAGAGATCATTAAATATTCAGTTTCTCCTAATGTGTCATACCACAAGCCCTATTGAAAAAGAGTGCAAGTCTTAAAAACAGACTAGAGTCAGGAATTTGTATTTAGAAGAACTTAGTGCTAATTTCTGTACTATTTAGGCTGAGCAGTTTCTTCCTGGAAGATTATTCATCCTCTATACAATGTGCAAGAGGAATACAGCAAGTTTTCCAAATTAAAATACTGTTCTGGACTTATTCCTGCCTAAAGATGTTGTCTGAAGTTATGCTAAAACCACTAGATTAGATCTTTTTCCATCTCAGAATAACTACATGGAGAAAACTGTCATTGTGTATTTCCAATGGAGATTAACAGACTTTGTTAGTCAAGTAACTTGGCAGTTACCTGTATGACGCGCCTGCTCAGGCCTGTTCTTTCCGCCAGTTTCTGAAGGGTTTGTGCATCTGGATTGTTGTCCTGAGCAAACTGTGCTTGCATAACCTGAAAAGGCAAGAAGAGAGATGGCAGGTTTCTGTGTGCAGTCCTGAGAGCAGCATTAGAGACTCCTCTCAGACTGTGCTCCTACTCCTTGACTGGTTTCAGGCCACTGTTGTAATCACTAGTCCCAAGTCCCAAATACATTAAGGAAAAAATTACAGTCCCCTAAAGCCAAAATACAAGTCCACTTAACTGAGATATTTACTAGAAATGAATTCTGCTTGGCAGTAGTAAAAAAAGAAAAAGGGAAGAGGTGTTCTGCTACAATTGCATTAAAAGGACCATAGGAGAAAATTCACTGCAAAGCAATTCAGGCACCCTCAATAGAGAAAACATCTATAGCAGCAGATCACATCACAAAAAATGAACTTGGATCCACCTCTAAACTTGTCAGCTGCTACCTGCATCTTGTATTATGTGGGACAGTTCAATCCTCTTCTCATCTGCATAGAGGATGCAGGCAACTGGGCAGTACTGTCTCCTCCTGTACCTTTAACTGACCTCAGGAGCCTGGAGGCTCCACCCTGGCTGACCTGCACGATGTAATTGTCTGGTTACACATCTTTTTACAAAGCACTGGGATGAACACACTTGTCATCAGGATAAGAATTATGTTTGAGGAAGTAGATGTCAACTTGGCTTGCAACCTGAGCAGTTGTAGAGATTGTTTAGAGTTTACCTTACTGCAGAAAGTAAGGCTTTTTACTCCTCTCCACATTCAGAAACAGAAACCATTTACTTTCTTACTGTTTCATACAAAGACATCAAAAAGTGTGAACATCTTTTGGTAAAAGTACTTCACAAGGTGTGTTACGACACATTTCCACTCTGACAGTCACTTATCCCTCTGGTGCTTCTTTTGCTGGAAGTAAAGTTTTATACCAGCATCAAGGATAGGTGAGAGAGAAACGCACAGAGCAGACAGCAAATCCCAATAAGTAACAAGAGGCCTTAAGATGTCCAATGCCTGATGAAGTAGGTTAGTTCTATTTAAGACAGGAGAAGGGGAAAACGTGGAAGTTTCAGTGAGAGCAAGCAAGAAGCCCTGAATACACTTGACTGTACCTTGATGGCTGGGCCTATCTCCTGCTGGAAAAGAAAGTTCTCTTTTGTAGAAGCTTGAGCTTGATGTCCAGAGCCCTTGCCCTGTGCCCTTGTCATATTATTGCTAAACATGCTTGTTTTTTATTAACACCACATTCCGTCTCCAGTCATGGCTAAAAGAGCAAGCCAAGCTTTGAACAGCCACATGCCACACTAGATAGCACTGCTTAAGTGTCTCACATGGTATTACACCTCAGCTTTAGTTTTTCTCAACTACTCTCAACATGAACAAGAGGACAGGCCAACAAAACAGAGCTCAGATTGAGACACTAAAAAATGAACAGTGTAGTGGTCAGGTGTGACTAGAAATTCAAATACATGTTATAAACTGAAAGCAGGTGTATATAGCTAGGATTAGGTAGAAAACTGCAGCTTCCTTTCCACTACAGTTTGAAACCTCTAGTTCTGGTCTCACCACAACCCCTTTCATGGTGTTTTTCCCTAGAAAGCTAATTTGTACGAAGTGGTGATCCAGAGAGTGAAATAACTCACACTTGACGCAGTCCAGAACTAACTCTTGCCAAGGCAGAAACACAACAAGAAGCCTTGAAAGCAGAGCAGATGCAGCCATTACCACAAAAATTCAAATTTCCATCTTGCTAATATCTTTAAGTCATGTACAGTACCCATCTTTAGGACAACCCTTCACATTAGGTAATGCTAAAAATATTTTGTCTTTATTACGTGTAGCGATGTACATGCCCGATTAAATAGATTTCATCAAGCAATCAAAATAAAACAACCTTTTTGTTTCCACTCTGCAGAACTACTGGCTGCCCCCAGGGAAATAAAAAGCTTAAAGAGTAACTATTTCATATTAAACTGCTGAAGCTAACAAACAATTCCAGAAACGTGCTGTGTCTTGATAGTTTATGAAATAGTTTAAAGCATACAAGCTTCTTCTCTCCCCCATATGCATCCAATTTCCTATCAGTTCAGCATTGCTGTCCTGCATAAACCTGAACTATTCAAGTTTTACCACTGCCTCTACCTGGAGTTGATCTGCTGTGAAGCTGGTCCGAGCTCTTTTTGCTGGTTTTGGGTGATTAACATCTTGTTCTGTTAGTAATGCTCCTTCCACACTAATCCCATTACCTGAAGCATTAAAAAGAAAACAACACTGTCTGCTACACGTTCAAAACCATGTTATTTCTAAGTCAGACTGTGCTCCAACAATAACCAACAGTACTTGGCGGGCTGAAATTTGACTTTTAAAAAAGTCATATTCTGTTCGGAGTTACATTGATCTGGCACCATTACCCATTACCCCCCAAATGACCCCCTTGCAATTGAGGGAAGGAGTAGATCCAGCATGCTATTTTATCAACTAGATATGCTCTTGCTTTCTTTCCCACAGGACAGAAAAACTAGCTACACAAACTTAAAAAAAATTTTAACATCAAATAATTTGCACATTATTTTAATTCAAAAACCTGTGCTTCCGGCATTAGTAAAGGTAGGTAATTACTTCTTAGATAGGAAAGATGAAGAGAAATCCAATAGTTTAAGTAAAACTAATCCACAAACATCGTTCTTCACCAACACGGTACATTACCATTTTCAACTTCTCTTTTCAGGTTGTCCAACATGCAGTCGTAATGTACCCTGCAGAGGACCTTCTCCTCCACCAAGGCGAACTCCTCTCCAGTAGAAAGCTGTCTCTTGCAGGAGAAGCAGGCGAAGCACGCCAGGTGGTACACGTTCCCCTTCGCCCTGCGGACCCAGTC